AATTGAAGCTATTCTTGTCACGACAAGTTTATTATTGTTAAGAATGTTCGGACAAACTCGTCATGCTTACACACCCAGCAGAACGTCTTTGTCGATTATTTACTTAGGTTTCGTTCGTCTACCAGAATCTAATGACACGAATTAAAAAAATGACAATCTTAATTGAATCCGGCAAAATCTTTGATATTTTTAATTTGAATACGCGAAATTTCTCATTTTCACTGTGCACATTTATTCATATAAAGTTTCATTTCAAAGATCGGCAAAAACTTGTTTTGCAAAAAAAAAAAATATTTAAACTGACTCAAGATAACGTACCAAACAATACAGCCGCCGTTAGTGACGACATATAGTCGTGCAGTTTAAAGTGTCGTAGCTTGTATATTTAAATGAAGTTGTTCACATATACACAGAAAAAAAGGATTTCTACTAATAAGAAAGAGCAATTTCTCAAAATATTTGCTAATTCTGAAAAAATATTTGTTAAAAGTAATAAAATATTGTCATTACAAAGATACTGCTTATCTTTTTCTAATATAGTTTTACTCTTAAGTTTATTCTAACTTTGAGACAAATAAGTTCACTTCAAGATTTTATTTCATTTCTAATCAATTAATTGGACATTACTTACATCAAGAAATTTTTACCTCTTACATCAAATTTAAATAATCTTAAATGAATTCAAAATTTCTTGGGTGTATTTTAAGAAAATATATTCTTAAACAAAAAAAGAAGTAGTTTTCTATTCAGATTAATATTCTAAATTCTAGAGTATATTCTTAAAGCAACATTTCGTTGCGTTTTCATAGTCAATGTTGTCGTGACATGTCACCGAAGGCGCACGCGGTAACGATTACTTTTACTCTTGCTTGCTTGCTTGCGTGCTTGTAATCATAAAAATCATAAACAGTCATTTACCCTAAGAAACAATACGTAGTATCTCTAGTTTGTTAGGGTGTTATTTATATTCATAGTCATATTTTAAGAAATTTGGTTACAGCATGAAATCAAACTACATTTGTAACAAGCACAACTTTAACATGCAATTAGTTTCATCACGCCACTGCTAGATGGCATTAGTTGTACTCTGAAACGCGCTATCGTTTTGTTAACTTCGATAGTATAAAGTCATCTCACATATTTGGAATTGTTAGTGCTTTCTGCCGCTGTAGCGTTTATACGGCACTGAATGGCACTGAACTGGTTGCTATCACGCCAGTGAGACATACTTTTGGGTTCATAACCCTATAAATTTACCCTTTTTGATATTAGAAAATATAAATCTTTAGTCAAATAATTAAGTACCTCTCAATTTTCATTATTTTTTTTTTTCAAATCAAAATCGGACATTTCTAATAACAAATAAATATTTTGTTGAATCTAGAGTGGCTTTGTGACTTGAAGTAAATCAATTTGCTCTTGGATTGAATATTTCTGTCTTATAACAAAAATACACTTTTGAGACGTTTTTTTACTATTATCAAGTAATTATTCTCTAGCGTCTATAGGGAGAGGATCGTTTTGTTGGATTTAATAAATTTGTCTTCATAAAAAGAATTTTGTCTTTTTCTAAGTAATCTGTTTTTACCGTGTAGTACAACATGATTAACTGTCGTGACTATAGGAAGTGCTAGAACGACTATCGCCTGACGATAAATATAATAACGTCACGGTGAAAATGTGACAACAGATAGTCACAGCTTCAAACGTTTCTGTCGTGCATACGACAAGGCGGCTACAGTGAACCGATAAATTGTCGTCACGATCTAGTGGGAACAGCTAGACACGACAGTCGTTCAACGATAAATAAAACGTTACGACATAATGGAAACGCGCCCTTGTGAATGAATGAATGAATGAACACAGAGCGTAACAGAGCGGCCTTTATTACTGATCACGGCAGTTTTGTTGAAAAAATGTCACATACGCACTTTAAACTAACAACGGCGGAATAGTTGTTTCACCCAATTATATGGTATTATCAATTTATCATCAACCCATTTATGAATCCCACTGCTGAGCACAAGGTAAATTTCAAATTAAATATCGCACGTAAATTCCCAGAAACTCAAGGTGTCAGCCCGGATTCGAACCCATGACTGGAGACCGGAAGGAAAAGTACTCGATACTTCTGTACTCGATACTTTTCAGGTATTCGTACTTTTTGGCAAGTATCGTATCGTTTTGAATAATGTCCTAACTTAGGACAACTCATATCGTAACGCAAGCCACCTTGCATTTTTTTTTCAATGGCAACCTTCATCACAAATGTCTTGCCTGTACAGTGCATGCAACCATTTGCCTCTTTATAGAATGAGAATGAAGAAAAATAATTAGAAACATTTCAATTAGTATCATAGCTGACAAACATATGTTGATATGGCTGTTAGTTTAGAGAGAGGTAAATTTGAGACTTCTAGTTTTGGGGCTGATTCCTTCACTCTTCAACCTGTTACGGAAATGGATGTTTCGAAATATATCTTGTCTGTCAAGTCAAATGCAATGGGGTGTGACAATATTAGCCGTGACATGATTATGTTGACGTTACCAAAGACCTTGTCGATAATCACTGCGATTGTGAATAGGTCCATTTTGACAGGTAGGGTACCTAGACTGTGTGACCAGGAAGCATTGGTCACTCCACTACCTAAGGTTGACAATCCCAGTGAACTAAAAGATCTTAGGCCTATTAGTGTACTGCCTTTTCTTTCTAAAATTCTAGAAAAGGCAGTATATCATCAGCTTCTATGTCATGCAGACAAGAATAATATACTCCCTTCTCTTCAGTCGGGTTTCCGAAGGGGTCGTGGCACGGTTACTGCTTTGCTGGACGTAACTGATAATATACTAGCGGCACAGGACGCTGGCCGTGGTACGATTCTCTCACTCTTGGACTTTTCTCGAGCTTTTGATAGCATTGACGTTTCTCTTCTGCTATCAAAATTAGTCTACTATGGACTAGACCCACGGGCGGTTCAGTGGTTTGGTGATTACCTAAGTGACCGATGCCAGTCTGTAAGACTCAAGAAACGCAACTGCATTGATATGATTTCCAATTTGCAGCCGGTTCATCGTGGTGTTCCACAGGGTTCGATATTAGGTCCTCTACTATTTATAATTTACAGTGCTGATTTGGTCCAAGTAATAAAACATAGTAAATTCCACTTGTACGCCGATGATGTTCAGCTGTATATTTCTGAAGTGCCTGAGAGAATATCGGATTCATTACGGCTGCTCAATGAAGACCTAAATGCGATAGCTGAATGGTCGGTCCGAAATGCGCTAGTACTTAATCCTAATAAATCAAAGTTTATGGTGCTTGGATCAAAAGTTCAGATTAGGAAAATTTTAAACAAGTCACCAGTAGTTAGTATTTTAGGTCAAAGTATTTCCCGGGTTCATGAAGCTAGAAATCTTGGTGTTCTGTTGGACAGCGAACTCCGTTACGAAAAACATTTAGAAAATGTTGTAAGAAGTTGCTTTTATAGACTGAAAGTCTTGTACAAAATTAGGAATTTACTGTCCGAGGGAGTTAGGATCACTTTGTGCGAATCCCTGGTGCTGTCTCGTCTCAACTATGCGGACCTTGTTTATGGCCCTCGACTGTTATATAAAACAAGTCGCTTAATACAACGCATACAGAATGCATGTAGTAGGTTTATTTTTGATGTTTCGCCTAGGAGTCATATAACGCCGTTTCTTAATAATGCATGTATACTCAACATGGAATCTCGCAGACAGTTACATCTTGCCTCTTTAATGTTTGATATTGCAAAATTCAAAAATCCAGATTATCTTTTTTCAAAATTACAATTTCCCCACTTTTATTACGTTACGTAGGTACGACCATATTCCTAGATCGTTACGTCCCCCGCTAAGCATGCAGCGACATCGTACAGCAGCGTTCACCGGCAGTTTTCGCTACCACGCAACAAAGTGTTGGAATAATATTCCACCACCTTTAAGACTTTTAAAATCTAAACGCACCTTCAAGGAAAAGGTAAAGGAACTTCTTCTTGACAGTCAAAAAAAGGGTATTTCACAGAGCTTTGCTTAGGTGGCGAAAATTTGCTGCATATCATCATCAGCCTATTGAAGTCCAGTCCAGTCCTATTGCATATATTGTGTATTAAAACCATGATTAACCCACTAACAGTTTAATTTTCTTTTATATCTGTATTTCACTTGTTTTTCTTAATTTTTCTTTTATATATTGTACTCTTACAATATATAATTTGAATTAAATCACTAATATTTTTAATTTATTTTTTAAACATTATATTTATATTATCTTCCTATTTATTTGGTTTCTATTCTAATTATTATTATATGTTTAAATATAATTAAATGGAAAAATGACGTCAGCGAGCTGATTATCGTATCCGCGATTACTAGGTTATAGCTGAAAATCAGCGGTTTGCTCTTGAGTAAACACCGACGCTGAGCTATGACCTTTTTGCACTGCTGCAGCACACGTACATAACTGGGTGTCTAGCAGTGCTGCGACTCTGCTGTTTTTGTTTATTTTTGTTTTGTTTGTGTTTTTGTGTTTTTATTTTTTATTTTTTTGCTGTTATGTACGTGTGAATGTAGTAACAAATAAACATTTTATCTATCTATCTATCTATCTATCTAAACATTATATTTGAATACTTCGCAATTCCGGCGAAGTTTGTTCCTTCTTCAGAACGTGTGTTCTCAAAAACAGGCAATACAATATCAAAACCGAGAAAACAGACTGTTACCAAATAGATTTTTGTTTTTAAGTGATTATACAGAGAAGGAGTGGGAGATTTAAGTAACAGAAATTATGTGAAAATGACGATTGGTTGAATTTATTAATTTAATCAAAGTCTTTTATTATTTGTTTCAATTAAAAATCATAAATCAAATAAAAGACTTAGACTAGAGAGGCGGTAGGTCTAACCAGGACTATTGCCACGGCCTTGTTATCGAATTTTGCGACACGGAATATAAACCAATAATTAATTCTTCCACAGATCATTGACGTGTACGACAATACATATGCCGATAAGCGATGTCTCCTGGTCGTGATGGAGTGCATGGACGGAGGAGAACTCTTCGCGAGGATACAGGAAAACGGAGATGGTGCATTCACTGAGAGACAGGCTGCCGAGGTAATTTCTCTTTTTGTTTCTTTGTCATCTATTATATCTTTGTTCTATTACACTAAAACGGTATTGTACTTTGTTTCAATCCATTTTAAACAAAAAGTAAACAAACAACACTGACCCGACCAAAGACGGTTTAGTGATGGTCAATTGTAACGCAAACTAAAAATCGATTAATTAATTGAATGAATCGGTTTGTTTAATTAAGTCATACTAGCGGTTTTCCTTACATGAGTAGTAAAAATATATAACCTATAAAAGCATGTATTTAAAATTCTTCCTACAAATCTTTACACTTAGATACTCGTTCGATTGGGATGGAAATTTTCGATTTACCAATCGATTACAAAAGCTTTAATTGAATGAACGGAATGTTTTTTTCGTACAGCACTGCATAGTGATTCCATAACTATGGGACATGTCATAAAGTATAGATGAAAAATAACCTCACTTTTGAACTACCATTTTTCAAATACGACTTTACGATGCTATTCAAATGAATATTGTTGGAAAAAGTAATGAGATAGGAAATGAAACTATTTTTCCGGATTTAAATCGCGTATATTTGTTTTTTCAAACAAACCGACGTTTCTACAAATACGCGATTTAAATCCGGAAAAATAGTTTCATTTCCTATGTGTAACAATCGCGAAAACCTAATACCTCGATACGTTAAGAGATATCAAGTCGAAATCTTCGAAATAACATGAAAGTATTACTTATTCGATTTATTGAGTGATTGCTTTAGAATTTTAACCAAACAGGTTTGTTTACTTTTTGTTGAGTGTGTGAGTGTGTGTGTGTTGAGTGTGTTGAAAATGGATTGGAACAAACTATAGATATGCGCGCCATGAAAATCATCAGCGATAGCGTGATGTGGCGTGATAGTTTTTCGAGCTGCGGCGGCGCGGCGTGGTCAGCGTGAAATTGCCTTGGCATATACAGGGTTGTTTGTAAAATATTAACAACCTCGCTGGACTGTATTACCAACATCGTAAACAACAACTTTTGTTCCATGACTTTTAATAGTTCATCAGATTTTACTTTCATACAAAAATAACAATATTTAAATATGAGGTCGCTCTAAACCACAGCCGAAAAAAACAATCACAACCGATGCCGCCAAAACTCACACATTCTTAATTTGAAACACCACAAAATCTTGATATTGATTGGTCGTAGTTTCAAATTTAAAAAGAAATAACAAATTCTGGATTATTAATATAATTTATACTTTACCCTGTTGGCATATCATTGAAAGTTCAATACCTATAATTGCAAGTTACGAACGTTTTGAGATTATATTGAAATTTCAATCATTATCCCGCCATCTAGCGGTTCATTGCTGAACGACGACGAATTGGAGTTATTAATTTAGTTCTCCGTAAAAGAATCGACCATATTGCAGGGGTATAAGCTTTACTTTCGTTTCTAGTAACAAAAAAATATTTCTACTTATAAACAGAAAAATGATATAAAATACCAGCACGGGAGATATATTTTTGGTGCGGCCATCATTTTTGCACTCCAAAATTTGCACCTGAATTTTTTAATTTGAACCTAACAAGACCTATAGCAGAGAACAAATAAGTAATGAGAACGGGCACTCTCCGCCCCTCCCTAGCTTTATATACCGCACCACGCCCTGCACATTGACGGTCACATTGACTGAACGAGAACAAGGCTAATATGTCAGACGCTAACTTACCATTTCTACTGTATTTATTGTTCTGTGCTTAACAGTCATAACTCTGTGAGATAATGGTCGTGGTTGGGGACGCATTCACGTTTGAACTTGTAACTTTACTACCAAAGACAGATCTTAAAACTTAAAAATGTACTTTGGTAAATTTATTAAGATTGTTAATACAATTAAAAACCGAAAACAAGGATCCGACAGTTCGTTCCGTGGCTTAGTTGGCATAGCTGGCATGGTTTGCTGATAGACGTTGTCTTGTATTAATAATTATAACAAACTAGTGGAGTAATTTTAGAAAAAATAATTGAATATCATGTTGGTGAAACTTCCAATAATTACGACTTGAGTTTGAGTATGAGAACGCAATATTAATTTTTATTTGTCTTTACAGATAATGCACTCAATCTGCGTAGCCGTCCGCCACCTGCACGACACAAACATCGCTCACCGAGACATAAAGCCGGAAAACCTTCTTTACACCAGCATGGAGCCTGGCGCTGTTCTCAAACTGACTGATTTCGGATTTGCTAAGGAGACACTCACACCCGCTGACACGTTGCAGACGCCTTGTTATACGCCTTACTACGTTGCACCGGAGGTAAGCTACACAAATAGAAACTAACGAAATGTTGCAGTAAACCATAGTTTCCCAAAGCGGTACTTCCTGAAGAGACCTAGGGTAGGGGCTTTGGAATCAATTGGAGGGCGTTGATGCTGTCCAGGCTACCGCATTTGAAAAAAAGAACCTGAATTATCTATATAAACTCCACTACATATCAGTGGCGAGGCGTCCATATAACTTTCCCGCCTTTTGCCTAAAGCTTTTCAATACGTAATTTAATATATATGGTACACAATTTAAGTGAAAAATCAGAGAAATTAAGGGTTACTATATCTGGTGTGCTAATAAGTGTTTTGCTATTAAGCAAGGCGTCTTTTTAACGACAAAAGTTGTTTTTGTTAAGGTAGGTGTTTACTACTAACCACTGTTTACACGCCTGGCCACTGCTACATACATATATATATATATATATGGGAAATGGATTTTTTTTCCTGATTTAGATCGCGTATATTGTTTTTTCAAACAAACCAATGTTTCGGGCCCTTTACAGCCGATGGTCACGATTGACTGAGACCGTGGGACCTGTAAAGAGCCCGAAACGTTGGTTTGTTTGAAAACTCAAATATACGCGATTTTAAGCCGGAAAAAATAGTTTCATTTCCTATGTGTAACGATCGCGAAAACCTAGGGACTCGATACATATATAATATATTTGTTTTTTTTTCCTTGTGGTTTTTTGTGTTAAATTAATATAAAAATTTCTTTTTTGTAGTGGTGGGCGTTGAAATTTTTTATCTTGCCTATGTAGGCGCTGATTGGTATTACAAAAAAAAACACAAATAAAAAATCTAAAATATACCTATTCTAATTTTATTATATTTTGTAATGATCGTGGTAAAATATTTCTTCCTTTACATTATGTTATTCTTTTTTAAAAAGCTATGGTAGCCTAATGTTTTCACCTAACACCTCTTGAGCAGAAGCCGTGGGTTCGAATCCGGGCACGCACCTCTTGAGTTGCTCGGGATTTATGTGCGAAATTGAATTTGAAATTTACCACGAGCTTTTCGGTGAAGAAAAACACCGTGTTGAAACCTGCACGTCGAACAAGGTTCACAACCCTCGTAAAACGTGTAAACCTTCGTGTGAGAGGAGACCCGTGCCCAGCAGTGGGACGTATAAGAGTTTTTTTTAGAATAAGTGACTGGACGAACAAGTCGTGCGCCAGATGGTAAGCTACACGCCTGTCCATAACACTTGCAGTGCCACTCAGAGCATAAAATCGCAAAAGTCTGAGGGGCACTGCCACTGCGCCCGTCACCCCGAGACGTAAGTTGATAAGTCTCATGTGCCTGTAATATCACCAACACCCTTACCTACCTTACCCTTACTACCTTACCCTTCAAAACTGGAACACAGTAATGCTGACATTACTGCTTGGCGGCAGAAATAGGTAAGATGGCAGTACTTCCCTGGACGAACCCTTTCCCATCACTGTACTGCTACAAAAATGGTTGATTTATAATGACGTTCTTTCTTTATTATTACATAATTAACCGAAATTTTTTTTATAATATTCCAGGTGCTAGGTCCTGAGAAATACGACAAATCTTGCGACATCTGGTCTCTTGGCGTCGTAATGTACATCCTGCTTTGCGGGTTCCCTCCGTTCTATTCCAACCACGGGCTCGCTATATCTCCCGGCATGAAAAAGGTTTGTTTGTTTGTCCTATATTTATATTACATATTTGTCTCACCTCGGTCCGGTACAAATTATAAGATTAGATCAACGGGTTTGAACATAAAACAAGGACAACTTTTTTTTATAATAAGTGACTGGACGAACCAGTCGTGCGCCTGGTAGTAAGCTATACGCCTGTCCATAACAGTTGCAGTGCCACTCAGAGCTCTTAATCGAAAAGAACTGAAGGGCACTACCACTGCGCCCGTCGCTCTGAGTCATAAGTTGGCAAGTCCCATGTGCCTGTAATTTCACCAGCACCATTACCCTTCAGCAGTAATGCTAACATTGAAAGGGTTGTAACCCTGATCAGGATCACGGCAGTGAAACAGGAAACTTCTGGTTCACAAATTTATTTAACGTGAAATAAAAGGTAGATGTAGATTAATAAAAAAACACTCCCTAACTTAACCTAAAAAATGGTAGTTGTTAGATTTAGGCACTTACCCCTTATCGGGTTTATTATGTTGAATTACAGATATCGGATAGACTGTTATTCATTATAGTCGATACATGATTTAAATTGATTGTATTATGATTAAACTTGAAAAGTATAAAAAATTAGACAATTTGATGTAGCAGTTCTGTTCGCTATCGCGGTCAACCACAGAGTGACCGTGGTACGAAGCAAAAATGAGAATGTGAAGGAAGATGGAACAATTCAAATTTAAATACAAACAAAAGAAAAAATTATACGATACAAAAAGATGAGATGACGGTGTAAGGAGATCACACCGTCACAACATTACTGTTTGGTGGCAGAAATAGGTAAGGTGGCAGTACTTCCCTGAACGAACTCTCTCACGATATTATTATGATTAACTGCCTCCGTGGCCGAACGGTTACCATGCCGGACTGCCACGCATAGGACCCAGGTTCGATTCCCGGGCCGGTAGACATATTTATACGGCGTTCCTTTATTTCTCTCGTGAGTTTGGGTGTAATTTGTGGGTGTCTATGTGTGGGTTCATGGCACCCGCGACACAGGGTTTCCCTGGTGCGGGGCTATGTTGAGTGTGTGCGTTATTATTATTATGGGAATAACCAAAAATAATGACCGAGTCAACAGATCGTACGAACCTTTTTATATGCTTGTTGCAAAATGCGTTGTGTTAGGGTTAAATGGCTTTTTGCTGCCACCGCCACTTGCATGAAAATAAAATATAAAAATTGGTTTCTCATTCACAGCGCATCCGTCTAGGCCAATACGATTTCCCTGAACCAGAATGGTCGAACGTGTCGTCAGCAGCCAAGAACCTCATTCGGGGTATGCTGGAAGTGGACCCAGCAAAGAGGCTCACCATACACCAGGTACGTTTTCACATAATTTAAAGCTGCTTGCCGTTCATTTTGTTTGTAACATCAAGTGACACTGCCTTTGCGCCCGTCACCCTGAGACATAAATTGCCAAGTCCCATGTCCCTGTAATTTTACCAGCACCCTTACCTTTCAAAACCGGAACGCAGTAATGTGAGCATTACTGCTTGGCGGCAGAAATTTCCTGCAGCTTGATTTTGATTGCCCCTCCCGATCGGAAACTGCGCCTCTTACGAATTGCGATTCACAACTGGCCGATCGGAAACTTATGACATTTCAAATTGGCACAATAGTTGGTTTAACTCACAAATTAGAAAGATATAGTAGGTTCATCTTCTCGCTCGGAAACCCACTCTTTCACAAGTAGCTCTACTGCTACTAAAGTATATTTTATAGTACACAAGATACCTGACCCCCCAAGCCAACTTTGATTCTGAGCACAAAAATGTGGAGAAAACGGTTAAACAAACTTAATCTTTAACCTGTAAACCGTAAAATTTATTTTGGTATGACTCCCTGGTCGTCTCATTAGTGAATAACATTGTAGAAAGTTCTTAAGCCAATTTGTTTAACGTATGGTTCTTACTTAAACACAGAACACAAATTTCAACCAGCTTTAGTAAGGCCGTCGTGGCCAAG